TTAAAAAAAAATGTAGAAGTAGGTCGTTTTCCAGAGAAACCCAGGATGGTAGGATACGCACCTAGGAGACTGGCAGAGGGGCTCACAGGGAGTTGAGGGGTTAACAAGACCCCTCCAAAAGCCAAATGAATTCCCCTTGGAAGACATAACAGTCCTGGCTACTCCTTCTTATACACACAGAATGCAAGGCCAAGAGTTGTTCCCTGGCTGTTTTTGCACTTAAACTTGTGAAGTTTATCAGGGAAGACTTCACCCACTCAAAGAGAGAGAGGTCCAGAAATAACACTGTCTGGGCTAAAAAGAGAGTTATCTCTCTGGCATGTGTGCCAGTATGCACACCCACTTGTACTATTTTTCCCAAGTAACTACCCACTTTTTTAAGAGGGGAGGGGGCGGAGATACAGCCAGCATTCACTACATCACAACTTTGTGGTGAACCATGCAAATGGCTGCAGGTTTTAAGAAATATGAATGCAATATTCATATTGGTTTTGTTAAAGGGAAAAACAGACATAACTGATTACCTCTTCGGTTTTACACAACTCATATGTTTGTTTAGAACACATCTGAAAAGGAAAACTTTTCTGAAAAGGAGTAATGTTTCCTTTTTACAGAAACTAGAAATAAGTCACGTCAAGGGCAAATTTGATATTCTCTTTAATTCAAGATAAACATACTGGTTTACTTCTTGACATAAAACATTTACTGGAAATTAATGAGAGAAGAAATTATGAGCAAAAAAAGCTTGCACGTTCCTTTGCCACCCTGCTTCTAAGTCCAAAAATTTTAAGATGTCTAAGGGAATTATCATTAATATTTTAGATAGTTATAGTTTTACCCTCCTTAAAACTCAAGTGACAAGATGTAAACAGGGAGAGAGGCTGAAAGGACGCAGCATCGTGGAGTGGCAAGGAGCTTCAGGAGACAGACTCTAACCCAGATTTTGCTACTGAAAAGTCCTCTATTTCCTCATCTGTAAGAGAAAGGAGAGGAGCTAAGAAGTCTAAAAAAAGTCTTTGTCTGAAATGCAGGGTATAGTCACTGTTATAGTTCCTACTGCTTACGATGCTGCAGTACTAGAATAGACATTCAGTCACCATGTTTAGGGAAATTTGTGAAAAGCTGCAAAGTTCAAAGAGGCTACACAATAGAATGAACGGAGTCCAAGAGAAAGACTGAACGAACCCTTAGGGCTATCAATCACAGGATGACACTCTTCCCAAAGCCATCTCCAAAGTAGATGGTACTGGAGGAAAAAAAGACCATAATGGAAATAATTGGCAAGAAGGCCAGAGATACAGGAATAGATTGGCCAAAACCTCCCTATCTGCTTGATTCTAATAGTCAGCATTGAAATGGCCTACTGCTGGAGATTCAATATCTTTCAAGAGCTTGAAACTTCATCCATTTATGATGATTTGAGAGTACCTCATAAAATAATGGAAAAGAGCAGACACCCTGGAATCAGTCTTTCTATGGTTCCATCCTAGCTCCACCTAGCTGTGTGACATTAGGTATGTAACTTAACCACTCTGTGTTTTAAAGTCCTCATCTGTCAAATGAGGCTAATAATGGTTCCTACCTCATAGGACTATTGTGAGGATTAAAATAATAATAATGTACATAAAGAATACAGAAGTAACTAATACATAATAAATACTAGATTAATGGTAGCCATTATCTTTGTTAATATTTAGCAGGCAGGAGAATATGCTGGTAATTATTTATCTCTGAAGATTCCTCTTAAATACTACACTTCAGAGACCAGCTCATAATCATCCATCCCACTAGGATCACCATAAAACAAAGCAGGACAGGGCTAGAGGAAAAGTATTATAGAATCCTGGAGACCAATGCCGGTAACGGACTGCACAGAAGAGGAGCTGGAGGCCCACGGTGCTCACTAGACTCAGAATAATCCACAGTCACAAAGTCAAAACACACTTCATGTCAGAAAATGGCCAGTCTATTCATCATCCCCAATTCCAAATTATTTTCCACTTTGGAGCGCACAGTTCTTACAATTCAACCTATGGGCCTGTGGACCTCTTCTACTACGAGCACGCAGAGGGCGCAGGCTTACAATAATCTATCGTCTAAGTAGCAGTTTTGCTTCTATTCCTAAACTAGAATGACAAATTAGATTTCATCTTGATCCTTCTCATTAAGCTCTGTCCAATAAAACTTTATACAGTGATGATAATGTTCTATATCTATACTGATCAACACAGCAGTCACTAGCCATACGTGAAACCGAATTTTTACTTTATTTAATTTTAATTTAAATTTTAAAAGTCACATGTGGCTAGTGGCTACCATGCTGGACAGTGCAAATACCGTCAATTGGAAGTGGCTGGCTATAGCACGGTATTGAAAGGGATCCTAATGGGAGCTTGGCCTAACAGGAACGAGTGTGCTATGTTAGATCTGAGATGTGTGTTCTAGGACAAGAGACAAGCCTTTATCACATTTGCAGGCTCAGTTAAAGGATTTTATCTCCCTTTCCTTTACACCAAAAGAGAACCTCTCTTTCTAATATCTACAATGATTCTCAGATACTTGAGGGTCATTTTTTGCTCTTAGAAGAAATAAGATTGGCTGAAAAGAACCAGTTTATAAAGGAAGAAGAAGAAGAAAAAAAAGAACTTCACCCAGAATAATGCATAATGCCCCTTGATACACAGAGAAGAAATATTAGTTTCTAGCCGTTTTATAGAAGTACATAAAATCAATATAGTGTTAAACTATCGATTATTTTAAGTTACGTTATAGGCCTTTCTTCATCTGTAATGTTACAGATGTGTGCCATGGACAGGTCATTAAGACAATCCAAGAAATAAAAAAAACAGATTACACAGAGAGAGCAAACCACATTTTCTATTTTAAGTGTAGAAAAAATACTGCAGCCATTGCAAAAGAAATTACCACACCTGGGTTGAAAGTACCACATCCCCCAGCACTTTAAAAATAATCTACCTCACTTCCCAAGAAAGGAACAGAACTCTAACATTTGATTGTTTCAAAAATACCACTGTACTGCCTCCATGAAATACCATCTTGGCCAAGCGTATGGAGGAATCAAAAGATGTCACATACACAACCAACCAGCTGGAAGAAAATAGCTGCAAACCATATATCCGACAAGGGGTTAATCTCCGTAATATATAAAAAACTCACACATCTGAACAACAAAAAAACAAATAACCTGATCAAAAAATGGGCAGAGGA